TATAATTGAAAAAACTTTGTCATACAACCATCTGTACCAAAAACCTTCTTCAAAGATATCTGCTAAATTTTTTGAGGCAGAGACTATATAAAAAATATCCCTTAGCACAGTCTTAGCTAGGAAGTGTGAAAACATGCCAGAAGCTCTGAAGTAAACGTGGAGGCCAAAACATGCCGGGTCCCATGACTTCTGACTAGATTTACCACTTTGAAGCCTTCCTTAAAAAATTGAAATGTATTCCTGTTTCCAACAACTAGAGGGAGCATGTGTTAAGCCTGGGGAGGGTAAAACTCCCACATGATAGACACGGTGTTACACGATTTTATCATGTCTAAGAGCCACATTCCCCTTAGCTTTCCTACCACATTTCCTGTTTCCTCAGACCAGGACCCTGCTGACTCTTCCCACGCTGACTGTTCCCTGCCCACCCACCAGGCATCCCCAGCATGACCCCGGTCTGTAAAGGCAGTAGGTCCCCCCGCCATGCAAGGCACATAGCTGCATGCACATGCTGGCCGTTTGTGAAGCACCTCTGACGCCTCGCTTCACTGTGCGCATACTGCATGGTCCACGTGGCATGAGTCTGTCTAAACCTCTCCTGACAAACATGCATCGACCCTGCTTACAGCTCCTGACTCTGCAGCTCCAGAGCGGCTAGAAATTTTGCTGCTCTTTGCTTTTGGTGTAAAGCTTCGCACGGCTCAGCGTCCACGCTGATAAGCAGGATAGGCTCAGCTCCTAGATGTGCCTCTGCAAGTACGGGAGTGAGACGCACCTCAAACACTTGTAGCGTTTCTCCCTGGCCATGATGCTATCTACCAAACATAGCTGGCTTACTTGATCTGCAAGCTAAGAGTTTTGGTTACTGCAGATAAGTGAGCTACTAAGAAAGTTGATGTCAGGTGAATGAAATGGCCAGTAAAGGACAGGAAATCAACAGCTGGTTCGAAGAGAACATAAATTTTATGTTTACTGAATTACACTCTAACTGTAAAAACAGTGTGTCTCCAATCTGCCCCTTTAGTTCCTCTTTTTATGTTCTGCAATTCAAATCCTTCCAGGAAAGAAACTACTTTAACTTCTTCTTTATCATATATGTTCATTTGCAATACATCCCGCTCTTGCCAGGACGAATCACTAACAGTGTATATCATAAGCAATGACAGAAGCAATGGATAATGAAAACTTGGAGATTTACTCATCCTCCCCCAGAAGCTACCACGTAATTTCAGAAATGTTAATTCGTTCTCTTTCCTAAGACCAGAATTTTGTTGCTAAAAAGCAGCAGCTCTTAGTTACAATGGTACGGTTACAATCAGTGGTACAATTTTCTGCAAAAATGAGCATACTGAAGAAGAAAAGATGAGTTTCATACATGCTAATCTCCTCAAGCTTCAGGAAGGCTCGCAGTTTAATTCTGCTATTAAATGCTATCTCCTAAAAAAAGAAAGCAAGATCAAACTCTATCCAAAACATCCACCAGTATGAAAGGTTCCATAGCTGGGTCCGTCGTTCCCTCCTCTGCTACGCTAACTGCCAGTAAAAAAGTGTCTGATCTGGCTGCATGCGCAGCGCATGCCTGTGCAGAAGGGATAACTACGGAAGAAGAAGAGCGCTGCTCAGGAAATGCATGCCAGTGACTACCAGCATGGAACGGCAGCAAGAATTACATAAGTTATTTTACTGCAATCACTGAGCAGTTTTGCCTTAGCAGTCTTAATATAAACAAGTAAAGGTTTACAGATTCTACTTTGCAAAGAAAAGGGAGTGAATAAGAACCAAGTCCTTACAGTAAAAGGCATAATTTCGGCCTCTATTTAGAAGATAAACTAACAGAGATGGAAATGGTCCTAATATTGATAATCTTTAATTGCAGGGGCAATTTGGTGATGAAGTCTGAATGCCCAGAAGGGCCATATACCAATCTGATAGCTCAATATAGTTTTTAGAGTTCCTCAGGAATTTGATGATTTCTGGATCTGCCAGATGAGCTGCTAATTATCATACACCCTACATGTAGATATGCAGCTGCTTTTTGTTACAGTGTAATTACAGGCTAAGAATTAAGTATGGAGGGCTCTCTAGTCTCTGAAATGACATATTTTCACAACAAAAATATAAAAGAACTTAAATAAATGCAAAGATTCACTTGAATATAAATACAGACTGAGGAAATGTTTCCTCTGAGACCTTACATGTTCTCCACTTGATCTGCTCATCTCATATCCATGTTGTTAAGCGTCTCATTTTGTATGCCTGAGACAATTCACCTGTCGAGTTGATTGAGAGGGTTAGCGAAAAGGCAGAATAGTTTGGAAAGGGACTGATGCATGGGGTGTTATTCAGAAAAACAGACAGAGCTGGACTAAAGACGACCATATTACAATTAACTCAGCGTGGCTTAAATCACAGGAAAGTACCAGTTCCAGAGATTTTTATATCCACTGTAGCTGTGCCTAGGAAGGCTTAGGAAACAAGAAGACGAATTTCCTCTTCCTGACACACAAATAGAAAGAGGGTTAGAATTCAGTCTGTTCCATGGACATGCTTTCAGCCTGATCTGTCCCTGTTGAAATCTGTGGTGACAAAGAAGGCATTTAGGTTTCTAGACTAAAACCATGCGATTACCTATATAGATACACCCTTGGTCTGGCACGATCAGCAGAGATTTTACTGGAAATTTTGCACTGAAAGAAAATCCCTAATCAATCAACAACAAAAATAACTAGCTTAAAAGATTGACTTAAGAAGCTTGGCTGCAAGAAGACACACTAAAAATTTTTTATTTTCTTTCTTCATCCCCAGTTTTTCATGGGTTAAGAGTTATGCGAAAGCCTAGCACAGTAATAGACCAAATTGTGACTTAATATTAGTAGTCTCCTACCCATTGTTAAACTAATCTTCCACTCAACCATTGTTACACTGATCTGGTGATTTAAGTAACCCCCCCCCCCCCCCCACAAAGAAATTCCGTGGCGAGCTAGAAAGAGACTATATAAATTGGCTTGCTTATCACTTTTTGAATGATTCATTAACCAGCATAATTTAATATGTCACATGCTAGGTTAAATTCCAGGTAAACAACACAGTGTGTGCTCCCTCCCTTCCAGAAGTGTTACAAAATGCCAGTAATAAGAAGTTAAGCATTAACCAAGATGAGACAACCATGGAGCTACAAAAATAAAAACTATTTTTAGGTGCTTGCTTAGTTCACCATTTTAAAAGTCATGTATTTCACTTAGTGCATTGGTCTCAAAATGATCTCAATTTAAAATAACAAAACTTGTTTTCTCTCTTTTTAGAATATATCAGAGTATGAGCTGAACCGATTCAAAATAATGCATCAGCCGTAAGTTCCTCATTCTTTTCTGCATCCCCATGAAACAACTAATGCTCTGTTGTATGCTGCCAATTTCTCTGTTAAAAAGTGAGGAAGAATGGGAATTGTAACGTGTGCATGTTAAGGACATTAACTGATTGAGGTGGGACTTTCTCAGGACAGAGACCCTGGCAGGTTTACAAGAACTGTGGTTCAGGTCAGGAGACGAGAGTCTCTTCCGTAGCAGCTTCAGCACAATCTTCTTCCTCAAAACAGTCAGGGACAATCTTAATATCAGCAAAAGCACAAGCTCAGCTTTTTTCTGGAAAGTAAAAGCTCTTCTGCTGTACAGCGTATGGGGCCAAATTTTCAGAATTGGTTCATCTGCCGCTCAGGGGCCAATTTAGGATCAACAAAGCGCTATGTTGAATATCTCGATGTAAATGTTATTGTGGAAACACTGGGCGTTGAGGCTTTTGAGAGGTAAAAATCAGCCCAGTGACATGACAAGGATATCACAGAAAGGGCGTCGCAGATTGCCCTATAATACAGAACAGAGCCAAAACTGAGAACTGCTTACCCAGACCCCTTTAGACCCCTTTAGACCCCTTTAGACCCCATGCAATTAAAAAAGATCAGGGTCTAACCCCAAGCCACTGAAGTCTCCGCTGTCAATTCAGAATACCTTCTCTAATATTAGCTGGCTCAAAATTCCAGTAACAAGATTTAAAAAGTCTAAGTTACCCAATCATCCCGGAAGCAGATGCTAATGACCAACAGCTATTGCTATTGATCCCTTACGGGGAACTGAGTGAAAGGTCTGTATATATGTGGGTGATGTATTCCAATTACTACTACATTTATAGGCAAAGTTTCATACTAATATGTCTCATTTAATTAGAATACTGAATAAGCAGCTTTAGGTATAACAGTTAGGAAATGTATTCATATACTTTGTGACAATTCAAGTCCATGTAAAAGGATAGCCTTAATATTCAGGTATATTATTCACTTGTATTATTTTGCACAGAAAATAATATCAAAGAGTTTTCTCTGTGAGACAATAAATTTAGGAATAATTCATTTTGTTATGGAGTGAGTTGCTCTATTTCATCTAACAGCTTTTATTATTTCACGTAAGATATTTTTCCTAGCTGGGAAAACATGAAATCCACTTACAAAACCAGAATTTTTTGGCAAATCCCACCCTATTCATAAGAAGGTAGAGGAACTTGAGGGCCATTTTATACATCAAAATCGTATTCCTATTGATAAGAATTTGATCGGAATGTAAGTGAATATTGTCCTAGGTTCGTTTTAGTAATTAACTAGATGAATAAGTCACATGCCAAAGGACTTTCTTGCAAGGTAATTAAGTCTAACGGGACATCATTTTGACAGGAAATGTAGAGAGCATGAATGTGAAGTTAAGCAGGGATGTGACTTCTGTTTCTGTGATATATATGAGTCTGAACTAGTACACAATTAGGGCCAATAGAAATCTACTGATGTGAGACCAAGAGTTGGGCTTCTACTGAAGTGAACATTTAGTCCTTGAATTCTCACATGGTAAATTGGAATAGGAAAAGATGTTTTCTAATAGGAATTCTGTAATTTTCTAGTAGGAATTCTGTTGTCAAGTAGAAGACAAAAGGCCAGACTAGAGCCAGTCCAAAGTAATAAATTCCTAAAATGCATGGTGTGGATTTTAGGTCCCCAGCACCAACTGTTTCACTCTAAGAGCTGTTTCTAGTACATCTTACTACCTGCTAGTGCAAAACTTGCCCAAGTGACTAGCGCTCAAACAGTTTGCATGGTTTAACTGGAGAAGGTTTACATTGATCCACCTAGACAAGATGAATAGGTCTGTTCAAGCCTATATATATCACAGGTAATCCATGCTGGATCAAAGCACTAAGAATAGATAAGCAGGAACATGGCAATTGCCAAACAAGCTGAGAGCAACTGTCTAATCCTACATTTTCTCCTGGCTGCAGCCAGTGCGCCAGGTAAGGTGCAAGGGTCCCTGCCTGCTGCAAAAGTTTCTTCAGGCGTTTGCTTGGGTGGAAGTTGGTTACCCTGAAGCACCTCCCTCAAAAGCCCTTTGCCTTTCCCATTCTGGTTCTCACTAGTGTAACATGACATGTTCTACTTATTCACTAGAAAGAATTTGAGTGTAGACAGCTATAAATACTTTGTGAACTAAAACATGCAATTATTCTACACCTGCTAAGAGATCCCACAGATGTACCAGGAGCAAGCTGCATCTAGGTATGGGTATACCACCCTGACTCCTGCACTAAACATGCCCACACACTCAATGGAAGGCACTTTTCCCTCTGTTTCGGTATTGAACCTGCTCTTTAGTGGGACAAGGTAGCAGAAGCGAAAAAGAGACAAAATATTTTCTCTGGGAAGCATTTATTGTAGTAATTCTGTTTTGAAATACTCTGAAATGAACTTTTTTCGCACCAGACATTTTAAAAAAAGTTTCTCATTATATTCTTTAATTCAATTAGTATTGGCTTTTACAGCCTAATGACAGCCTAATGTAAACTACTTCTCCTCTATACTTAAAGCCACAGCACTATCTAGATTGCTTCTGAGCAGCTAGGCAATATAGTAGTGAAATTACCAATGACCACTCCCTACTACTGCCCTATCAGCAAAATGCGATAATGAAAGGTTTCCCTCCAGGCTTCCCAGAATAATAATAGAAGAGAGCAAGTGCTGCTCTTGAACAAGGGACAGCAGCATGCTAAGGGACAAACCCAAAAACTCATCCTCTGGCTCTGGCTGCAAGGATTGTGCAACCAACTGCTCTCACATTTTATTAAGTTTCCAAGGGTCCTGACTCCATGTTGAAATATTGAGATTTGTTTAGAAGTCTAGGTGTCTACAGAGGTGCTTTTCTATTTTTCACTCTGCACATCAGACTTGGTTGAAACACTCTCACCCTGATAGCCCGGAGACATCCAAAACTCCCAAACACTGAACAAGTTCACTCTCAAGAACGGCAGTACAACAGACCTTCCCAGGTTTTAAACCTCTCACTTAAATTGGCCATGAGCTGATTTATTCAGTTTTGAAATTTTTTTCCAGGAAGAAAAACATCTAGAACAATACACTAAATTCAGGAGCACGCTTTAAGAGGGAGCAGGTATCAAAATCAACCTCATGCCACAGGTATTTCAAATACTGGAGCTTAAGTGCTTTCCAGACATGCTCTCTTGGTATTGTTACTAATAAGCTGTGCAAATAAGACTGGAATTTAAAGCTGTATGCAGCAAGTCTGATCTAGATAAGCTATAATCAAATTATATACACCCATAATTTGGAAGCATATCTTGAGAAAGAAATGTAGTTGAAATGTAGTTACAGCTCAGTCTCCTCAGCGTAGATAGTTCAAGACGTTAGCATTGGATGTTTATGCAGAAACTATTTCACAATACTTTCTGCTTACTCAAGTTTCACTTTCCCAGGGACCATGAAATTAAAAGGTCTTCTTTATAGCTAATACAATTAGAAATGTATCCCAAACTAAACCTGAAATAAATTTTGGTGTCAGCCCATATGCTGTAGGGACAGTTTCCCAAAATCAAAACTGGAATCTTTCATTACCAAATCCATTCCTTTTATCGCATGTGCAAGGTCAGAAGCCTGCTCTAGCTGTGTCAGATTGTCAGGTAAACAGGAAATCTGCACCCACAAATCAGATATGAAGTGTCAGGTCTTGCAACTATCATTTGTATATGGCCACATGCAGTTACGGAAGACCCGGGATAATAAGTGAATTGTGACAGGGAGTGTATAATTACAAGCTTTGCTTAATTAGGGTGTGGGCAGCATTTGAGTTCCTTTTCTTGAAATAAACATCTATCACTTTTTGCTGCTGTTAAAAATATCACTAGTTTATTTTACCAATAATTTATCGTATATGCAGAAAAAAATTGCTATTCATAAATCAGATAAATGTTGTGTAGCTAAGATTGATTGCTAGATTACTTTCTAACATTTATTTTTCACTTGTTCATAATTTTTTAATGAGATAGATAACTCTAGGTTGAAATTTTTCATTCTTGTCTTCCAAGCAACAGAGATCTCTGTTCCTGAGACATATGAATAAATTCTGAATTGTAAGAGCATTTCATATCAGAAAAGTATCTTTGTAATGCTGATATGTTCCACTTGAAATGTATGCACTTGCATAATGCAAACTGCCAGATCTAGAAACATTGCACACTAACTTATTTTTCATCTTTCTCCCTCCACCCGCCTTTTTCTTTTATTCCTTCATTAAGGAAGACAAACAACCTCATTTGGAAAATTCGCTCTTCAGCATTTCTATAGCTATCAACATTTAAACACCATACACAAGTTAGTCACCCTTACTCCAGGCCAAAATATCACGTGTTAAGGACTGCAGCCCCTTTTAGTGCCTTCGTAGCTGGCCAGGGGAGAGTTCTTAAGGCAAAATATTTTGGAGTGAAGGGGTCTAATCAGCACTAAATCGATTTGATAAAGGTCGGGTTGAGACCTTGCTCTGCCACAGACTTCACAAGTAAACTTAGGCAAATTATTGCAGCATGCCACGCTTCCTTTCCCATCTGCAAAATGGAAATAATAGTATTTCCCCATGTTTACAACAGAAGTGAAATCCTTCTTTCAGATAATATGGAAAACTGTAAAACCACACTGTAGATTAAAGCCATCAGGTTGCTCTCCAAGATCTCACTTGTGAGCTTTGACGCTGTAGGGGCATGGCAGGTGCATGCATTGAGGAGAGGAGAATACTGTGGAGATTATTGGCCAGGCAATGGCCCGCAGCACCATTGCTGCAGCTGCCAGGCAGCCCCCTGCGCTGCCAGGGGCCGCCCCGGCTTGAAGGCAACAAAAATTACAACGGTTCAAAGGGCAAGGAGGTCGCCCCTGGCAGGATTGATTTTGTCCTAGTTCTGAGTTCTGACAGAGATTTACACACCTCCTTTTGTGCATTTTTAACTCATTGTCCATGTTTCTAGACAGAATCA